ATTTATCAAACCGCTATTATTTATGTTCATCAATGAGATCAATGAGCCCGCCGGCGCGGCGCGGCGTCGCGTCGCTGCAATCAACACGGTGTTTGTAGTAGCCGGTTGTAGGCCTAGTTGCGGCGCTCAACGGTTGGGTGGAAGTTGAACTGTTACTGCCGCATTCGCTGTGATTTTTATAGTTTTTGTTTTATTCTGACATATAAAATTAAGCTTGCTATGAGTAAAGAAAAGAAGGCTCAAATTTTGAATGTAATTAAATCGTCTAAGGACATTTTGTTTATTGGAACGGTTTCAAGTACCCTTACCTATGTTTTCAAATATTCGAATGCATAAGGATATTTGGGTTAAAAACAATTTGGTTATATTCTAATTTTGAGTCTACAAACCATGAATAATAAGCCTAAACGTTTATTGATGTAACAAATAATTGCAACGCCGTTACAAGCAATGGAGAAGTAGGTTTTCAACTATAGTAAAACATAATTGCTACGGCAGGGCGTAGCTCAAAAGGTAGAGTTCTCGCTAGTCATTTGGCGGGTCCCAGATTCAAATCCGCGCCACTCACTATACTTTTTATTCCATTAATTTAACTTTTACATGTTTTACATTAAAATAATAGCTCTAATCAACGTCAAATTTTTTTATTACTTTGAATAACAAATTCAGAATACCAAAATGGATTAAAAGTAATGTTTTTATGATAAGCAGTTCAGTTCAACGCCAAAAAATCAAATATAGGCCAACAAAATTGTTAGTACATCACAGGGTTTTAGCTATTTAGGGAAGCAAATAATAAGCACCTCAAAAAATACAATGCAACTCCTCTTTAAAATTGTCTTACTATTATTTCCTATTAAAATGTCTTTAAATATAACCGAGAGCCTTGGGTGTAAAATAATCTGATTAATGTTGTAATGTTGGATACATTTGTTACATCTTTGTATGCAATATGGTATGCGGTTTTAATTTGGTTTCTCTCAAAGCTTAAAAATCTTTTCTCTGTGATAGCTAAATAGTTGATATAACCATGAAATTTAACTCAAGTAAAATTAGACTAAAATTTCACAGAAATTGATAACTTATAATTATAATTAATTCTAATAGGGCGATTGTACATACATTGTAAAATTCTATTTCTCTCATTTTTTACTACGCCACATTTATTGATTGTAATTTATATCTAATAATTATCATTTTAGCACTCACAGATCTATTTTTATCTTATATTGCAAACGTGAGCCAATTCGCACTTGCAAAAAGAACTTAATAATTCATTTTTTTTCATTATGTGATTAATGAAATAACTCTCTTTCCAAAAATATTAGTCTACTTCAAATAATACGGGTGTAGAGAGGTTGTTAGAAAATGGCAAGTATTTACCAGTGTAATTTACAAGAGTAAAACTTTATGGAACACATTGCTGTCTACACTAGTAAAAACCACTAGTAATACTAGTCCCTACACTAGTAACTAGTATTTTACACTAGTAGGTTTTTGAAACGTAGACTTGTAAAATACACTAGTATTACTAGTCCATGGACTAGTAAATACTAGACTAGTAGTTTTATGAAACAGGGCCTAGGAGGTCACGAATTGTGGATTTTTATAGGCATGCACTGTGGATGCGATACTCCCTGGTGTGGATTGACGTCCGCACTAGTGAGTACTACCCTGATAATTAGACCAATTCGTTAATACCAAGCCAAAAATGTGGTTCGGATTCCACTATAAACTGTAGGTCCCTTAGTTGCCATTAGCTGTATATGCTATTAATTGACAGCTGTGTCTAAGGAATATGTCGGCCTTAGTCACTAATACTACAAGATCGCGCCACTTGTTCTACACTTATCTCCATTCATACTTGGCTTAAAATGCCTACATTCGTATGGTCGCCATTTCAATGAAAACTATTAAGGTAGGCTATAGTCTACATTCAACCAAAATAGGATGTAAATCATATGAAAACATTATTCAAATTTTAAGGGAGTGAGATACCCTAAGTCTTTTTGCAAAATTTTAAAAGTAAATAGCTTCGGCATTTTTAAAATAATAGTAAGTATGATATACAATAATCAACTTGAATGTAATATTGAACAGTCTAACATCCCGTTTCAACCGTCTGCATATTTGTGCAAGGAAATGCAACCTTATTTGATTAATAAATAATGTTTAATTAATTTACAACAATGTTAAATTAGAAGTATTTTTTATATGTAAACAAATTAATCATGTATCCAACACAAACTTGCAGCAGGTCATTTCAGATACTGTTAAAGCGTTAAATAAACATAAAGACAAACGAGCGAAAAAAATATAAAACCAAGAAAGCAAACAACTTTGTGAAACCGGTCCAAAGTGGTTGAAAGGTTCATAAATTGTTCACATAAACACACGATTTTATTCCAGAGTCAAGACATTAATGTTGCGAAATTGTCAACAGCAAATCCCATTATATACTGCTTGGACGCAGAATTAACATTGTTGCAACCTTGTGCGGGTTGCAAACTTGAGGAATATTTTATAAAAAATAGTTGACTGTATTAAAAAATATATGGAATTCCCGATATTTTGAATTTGTAGAAGAGTAAATAGATTTATAACCTGGTGGTTTGTAGTACAAAAGGTTTGGTAGCTGAATGCTTTAAGTTAGGGATCGCCTACTCATTGACTGTTTAATAACTATTGATCCAAGATGACCTGGGTTGTTAAGCTTTTGAATTGTTGATTAAAAGTCCTGAAACAAGTAAGTGAAATAAGTTATTAAAAGTCCTGGATAATGTACAGGGTAGGTTTGTGCAGTTGTGTACGTCCATAGGCACAGCATTACATGTTTGGATGGTTTTCAAACCAAAGTATGTAGAGGGTCAGCTAGTTCGTTACAGTTCAGTTTGGTCATCTATAAAATATTTTGTAAACAAACACTTATAAATATGCAGTTACTGAAGTGATTTAAACATCCATAAACATCCATAAATGTAAAGAAATGTAAAATATTATCCTGAAGTAACAAAAAAATACTGCTATACAACCTTCTGTTGAGAAATAAGATGGCTTGGAAATGTTCATCAGTTCTTATTTTTCAACTTATAATATTAGCTCACAATCTCCATCAATTAATTTCAAGTGTTCAAACGTTGGGGAAGTGTATAACTAGTAAGCAAAGTGGAACTTTGCTGCACACGAGATAAAAATGTTTACGGAATGTTTCTCGAGTGCAGCAAAGGCTATTTGCGCTCGTGTTACACATTATATGTTTCCTACAGTCACTATAAAACATACCAATAAGTATTTCAAACACTATACAACACATTTTTAGGTTAGGTTAAAGCCAAGCGATGAACGGAATGGGAAATACTGCACCAGCTGAGTGTAGACGTAATATCCTTAGGTGTTACTTATTTTCAAAGTACACTTATAAACAATAATAATCAGTATAAACAGAATAAACAGATAATTTTGTAACTTTCTTACTTACGCATCAAAGAAGAAAACATTTCGTATGCTCGTTCATACTCCTTTCTTCATTTTTCAGGAAACAGGTTTAATTAAACATGTTTTGCAGTTTCTGCTACATATATCTTCTGGTGTACACATATATTCACAATCACTGAGTTCATTATTCTCAAACTTGTTAGGCCCACTTATAATTCTTCCAAATACAGTACTACACTTTAGGTTATGTTCAAACTAAGCGTTGAACGAAAATAGAATATAAACACGAAATGACAGGTTAAATCGTAGTATTAATAAACAATCAGCTGATCATATATTAGTAGTATCTTGCCAACCTATTTCCAAGTGTACACGGATTACGTGCATAATAAAACCACGCTGTTTTGTGTTGTTTGGTTGGAATACTGGTGTGCGCCCAAGTATAATCGGTGCTACAAAGTAAGTAAATGCATCAATTAAAAGCTTTCTGTACTATAATCAGTGCAAGGAAGCCAACTTTGGGTGATGTAGGAAAACTCATTTTCCTGTTTTATACCACTAAAAATCTGATTAGCTTTGTCTTAGCTTGTAGGAAATGCCATTACTTTATGTAAAATTGGATAATATTTAACATTTTATTTTATTTCGTATGAATAAAAATCACAAAACCTTGGGTAGTCTTTCTATGAATACATGATCATACGCTTTTCCGGTAACAAACAACGAAAGTGGAAATTGACTTAAAAACAATTTCTATATCATACTTAATAAAAGATACGGTGTCCACAAAATGTACAGGCGCCTTCAAACTGTTCTACACTCGCCATACAGATTAGTTCATGAGAAGCATCAAACAGCTTGAAGGCGGTCTATATGACTCAAAGATAAATAATATTGTCACTAAACATTTTGGATTAAATACAGTATATGTATTCATGTCTTTGGTTTTGATTAGAATATTTTATACGATTAATTATATTTTTTACATCAATTAAGAGACTAAATATTTTGGACTCATTTTAGTGAACGAATTGTTCTTCAAGGAAAACATATGTTTCGTAATTCATTACCCATTTTTTTCCAAATACTCCAAAAACTCAAATTATTGTTAAACATAAGCGGCTTCTGGTGTTTTCCAAATTAACTTGATTATCGTATTATCAACTGATCTTAAAACAATAGTAAAATTGTACACACCTGTTAAAAAATTGCCCTAATACATTTGTAGTATTTATCCAACCCGTTCGGGTCCCGTTACATTATACGGAACAATAACCGTTGCTCCCATGATACAAGAGAACAATGAAGACAATTACAAGTAACTACCACAATTAAAGTAGAGCCAGCGCAAGACGTTTGCCAACAGTGAGTGCGGCGTCGGCAACACATACAGATCACAGGAGCGTTATCAATAGAGGCGGAATAAACGGCTTATCAGCTGGCGGATAACTGACAAGGTCGCGGCAAGTAAACAACCAGCTGTTATCCAGTGCCATGTGGATTTCACTGATCTTCGCCGTATCGCTCGGTAAGTGATTTAGTCACCAGTGATTGTTGTATTTGCAAACCATTTTGACATTTTAATGGGTCGTTTACGGGACATTTCGAAGTGTGTTTTGGCAATATCCTTGTCATGTTTTGTTGTGTTTGTTTCGATTGATTACTACGATGATGTGAGCGAGGTGTAAGTACGAATAAAGCTCAAGTATTCCACGTATACAGGTAGGGGTAATTGCAATAGTTACACAATGGAAAACTCAAGATTGTATTTACAGATCAGTATAGTATGTATACCTTAATAGTAATTTTTTTGGATTTAAGCACTAAAAACTTCTCGTTTATATATAATATCAAGCTGTAATTTATTGGATAACAACCTGACAAAACACACAAAATAGTTTCATTTTAAAATTAAAGTGATAAATTGATTCTACAATTATAGTAAAATTGGTCAATGGTTCTAACCGAAGCTCGTTATTGCTTATTTCATCGCAAAACAATACACATAACTCTCAAACAAAAGTGTTTTTCCTATCTTTGTAATTATTTACAAGAACACGTAAGGTCCCCATCTTAAATAATTGAATTGAATTGAATTGAATGTTGTTCAGTTAAAAATTAAAGAATGTGGTAGCCAAAGTAATTAGAACAGCCTTGGCTATTGAAGTTCGGTATATCCGTATCCAATATAGTGCCCTTGATATACTTCTAATTTTAATAATTATGTAATAGTGTTTATACGTAATATTAGCATTGACTATAGTCGATGATAGTAGGCAGTCATCAACCCTATTTTTTTTCGCACCGGTATACATGTACAAAATTTGTACCTAGATTTATGTAAGGTTTTTTTGAACACCATTATAAGATTATGTAGTCGACTTAAAAATTAATTTTTCTAGGCTTAATGAGGTTTGGACTTTTCTCACTGGATTTCTACTACGCCATGGTAAAAAATAAATTTTCTATAAACACTACTAACATGAGCACTGTACATTTTCTGTCACCATATCTAGCTTAACAATGTTAATTTAATAGAGAATTTATATAAACAAGAAATTATTTGTGTATTTAATTGTTTGTAAAAGATAAGTTTTTAAAACTAGTTTAAATCAGTTATCCCATAATCAAACAAAATGGCTTCATACAACTTGTATACCACATGTCCTAAATAAATATTTCCCAAATTGAATACTAATTTAATCAAGAAACAGCAGATGTGCGCTCCAGGTATCAAAACTGAAAACAAACGCTCTTGTGTGTATCATGTGTTTACTATGAACAGCTGTAATTAATACAAATTATTCATCTTTTTAAGTAAACAAAATCTTTTCCACATATGAAATACATTGAGATTTTGATGGCCTGAGGGGCAAAGCCCGAAGACTTTTATTACAGAAATTGGTGAAAGGGGGCGTCTACACAAAAAATACTTCATTTTGACACATTGTTTGTAAAAATCTGTCTGTTAACAGAGGAGTAGTGTTTCGTAGAAATCGCCTTTACGTATTATATAAGGATATTTTGTTCATGAGTATTATGAAAACTAAAAGTTTAAACTGAATAAATAAATACATAATACTAACATTGTACGAGTAAAATATATTTTAATGTTTTGTTTCACTACTAGGTAGAGCGTACTCCTTTACTACCATCCATCATGGTACAAAAATTGAAGAACCAAGTGATACAACATCTCCACAGCAACCTACTGAGGAATATAACACAGAAGAAACTACAATTACAGAAACAGTTATTGTCGATGACTTCTCTCATGTGGTAAGTACTTGTATTTACAAACTTGGTAATATAGGATACACTAATTGTGTAGAAGTGACTTTAACATTTAAAAAAAAACATGTAAAGGTTTACCATGATACATCCGGAGGCCTTCAGTACTATGGATGGCGTCTATTATTTGCAAGAAGAGAGAAGGATTAGTACTGACTGCTGACTGGATGAGGTGACACCTTTAATTGTTATTCACTAAGATCAGCTGTTTCTCAACAAGGAACAATACATTTATCATGATTAAGTTTCTTATAAAACTAGTGAACCTGTGGGGCTCAATGCCCCGCAAAATAACATAGGCCTATGAAGCATATTTTGAGGGTCTTACAATGCTGTTTGAAGAATATACTTTTAAAAATAAACACTAAAAAACAATATTTTTTATCACAAAAGCACGAATACTACGATTTTAGTCTTAAAGTTACCTTCAGAAAGATTACCCTGGTCAGAATTTTCCGTAATGAATATGCGTATCCTATTAAAAGATGTAGCCTTACTTAAAACTACATACAATATAGTTTTTTCTATTTCTTTTTCTTTTCGGTAAATTTCTGTATTCAAAGGTTTAATTAAAGGAAACACTTTAACTCCATTAAAGAAACTATGGGTATAACTAAAACTCAATTTACTGTCATACAATATGACAGTACTGTACGTCATACAAAATAACATTACCCTACTATAATATCAGGCCAAGGTCTTATTTTTTTCATTTAAGAAACCCCTCTAAAACTTCAATAGTGATAAATCTGTTTTGAAAGCATTTTTGTAATTTCAGGTAGCAATACTACACAAAAACAATTTTTTGCTAGGTGCTGGGGCGATTGTTGGAGACAAATGGATACTCGCAACTGCTTTTCAAATTGGGGCGTAAGTAACCTTTCAAATTACGTACAAAAAAAAAAATAAGTGTACAGATACAATAGTATCCTATGTTCTGTTCGACTAACTGAATTATGAATATAAGCTTTGTTGGGTGACATTAAAAAGTATCCTAAAAAGGAGTTCTAATGTATTTATCAGGTTAAAACTTAGCTGCCACAGTAAATTTATTATTTTGAAAGTGATATTTTAAAAATACTTAATGAATTCAAATATTTAGTACGCTCCTCCAACCCAATGAATTTGCCTCTATAATACGTTATAAAACTAGATTGCAAAAAAATATTGTACAGCATACATTGTTTACCTATATTTAGATCTTAAAATGGTGTTCATCTTTTTTTTTTTCAAACCAACAACAAACTGTTACCATCGTCCAGATGCATTAGATATAAATGCAACAAAAAAATACAATCAAATCCAAAATAAAATAATATACTAAAATATAATGTGTAAATTTTTGAAATTGTTCAAACATGGATAAAGGCCTTTTCATCGTACTCAATCATATGCATACAATGTCACACAGTGAAAAAAATAAAGACATTTTTGTACAGTATGAACTATTTTATTTGACCAAGTCAGCAATAAAATGTTGAAGATAAAAAAAAATCTACAGCTGAGTTGATAAGACTTTGAACAGTCTGATTCTTTTTTGCACTAAAAGGATTTAAGAAGTACCAGCCCCTCAACATGTATGGAAAACAGATGTTTTTGTAGCAATTAACTCAAAAACTTTTTTTAGTTTCAAGCCAGACCAGCTGTGTGTGAGAGTAGGCAGCCAGTCAGCTGTTTCTGGTGGTCAGCTGTTAAAGGTAGATCAAGTGTTTGTCCACCCAATGTTCAAGCAGTTCAACAATGACGTAGCGTTGCTGAAGACTGCTGATGCCATCTTGCTGAGTGAGACTGCCAAGCTGATTCCTGTGTCAGAAACATCTCCAAGCATGGGAGATGCAGCAGTGCTCTGGACGTGGAACAGTGTGAGTGACTTTCAGATACTGAAGTAAACCTCCCATCATTACAAGTACGACTACCTATATTATTGTTTGAAATCTGAACAGCCTAATCAAACTTGTTTTCCAAAATTCCTTGGTGATGTGGAAGGTATTATAAGAATAATCAAAAACTTTAACAAATTTTGGAGTGAATATGCTTTGTAATTTTTGTATCCATGTATTTTCCTAAGCTTATATTACTAATTTTCAATTTTCCAGGATTCTACAGTTTACAAAAACCAAGCAGACATTCTTCCCATGTCAGAATGTAAAGCATTTTACCCAGACTTTGATTTGACTGAGAGTAACGTCTGTGCAGTACTAGATCACGTATTGCCATTCCAAGTGGTGAGTTAGTGTAATTTACGAGTTATCTCATACATAATATTACATAAGAAATAAAAAATCCCTCCATGTACCATAGGTAGCAAACCTGGAGAGTTGGATTTTCATTTCCTCAAAGCTGTCAGATTCATTCCCTATTTAAATAATGTTAATTTTATGGCTCACATCGGCACTGCACTATTTGTTGCTAGATGCCATCCCTGGTTTATCCTCAAGTGAAGTCCTCTGATGTTTCATATATGTCCCATGACATCGTGATACTCCGAGGTTCCCCACTGTTCACCCATTGGCCTCAGCTACAGGCTGAGGTGCATTCCACTTCACCTCTCGTCACAGTAGGCTGGGGCTCAGCGTACCTCAACTGGTCTTCCTGGCATGCGTGCATATCGGTGCAACAGCCTGGGATCTGTCCATCCCTTCTATCGCCGCCGACATTTTGGTGTCTGGTTGGTTGATCACATAGAAACCTGAAATTACCTCTACTACCGCAGTGAGCCAAGTGATAGCCGTCCATTAACATTTGCCACCCCAATGTTCTTCAATGACGCCAGGTGCTTAACAATCATGGTAGGCTCGTTGACTGCTCTTCATTGGTTTTCCATCACTCCAAGTCATTTCAACCCTGAACCACTTCCGAAGAGTCGTTGGTTAATTGTCACTTCATGTAGGTTCAACATGGTACCTTATAATCACACCATATAGTGGCTAAACATAGAATAAGTAGATCACAAGGAGTGGTGCAGTCGTATAGTTTTCAGTGTGGGAACACCCACTATAGTCTTGGGATAAAAATGGGTCTCTTCTATTAGAAATTAGGATTTTATAAAAAGCAGAGTGAGAATGCGGCGGAATGCCATTCCTACACACAAGATTTTTGAAAAAATTACTATACTAAATGTATCCACAAGTTATGTGACAATGCTTTTAATAAAATTTCTGTATTTTTGCAGAGTCTCTACGGTAGCCCGTTGGTGTACAAGGGTGCTTTGGTAGGGTTGTACATGGGTATGGAAGCTAACGTTTACAAGCCCTCACTCTGTTCCAACCTCTCGCCTCTCGTAGGTTGGGTTCACGCCATGATGAAAAACGAGACTGCAACCCAGCTGTTGTTCCCACTGTCTAACTGAGCTTTTAATACGATATCTTAAACGATAAATAATACAATAAAATGATAATAACTATAAAAGTTCCCGTCACATGCTTAGATTCTGAATCTATGTTGAATTATATTCTGATGAGGGAGTAGATATACATTTTCTGGTGTTATTGTTAAATGTTTTGTATGATTTACCTGTTACAAATGTTGTTTTAGAATACTTTCCAATTATATTATTTGTATATTAAATTGGATTGTTTTTAGTAGTAGTGTTGACTTTTGGATACCAAAGTAGACATTCCATCTCTATGGACAAGCTGTAACTGACTTTTAATTGTATTAAAACTTAGTTGGTTCTAAAGATTATAAATTTTTAAATGTACTTAAATATGCAATTGAGACAAGAATAACTATCAAGAGAATGAGCTATTCACAGAATGTGCAACAGTTTAAATTTCCATTTTTTTTTGTATTTTTTTACTGTGATAGTTTATGTAGCATGAAGGATGCTGTTGATTACCATAAGTGGTCCTTCAGTTTGGCGTGGTATATACAGGTAGGCCTACTATGAAGTCTGCATATTCATTCAAGTGAAATCGGTAGTTTAATAGATACAGAGTAGTGGATTAATTCAACCATTGTTTTTCATAGGAATGGAATTTCTTGTTCTAGTAATAGTCCAAGCTCTAACTTAAGATGACGCATATTTTTTAATGATGATAATATTACCCACCTTTGAAAAAGTCACAGACTAAAAGAGAGTCAACAATTATTTTCTAAATAAACTGGATTGTATTTATAATATATTGTACATAGTTTGTAAATGAAGGTTTAAGTGTTTTGGTGAACATTTTAAGACCAGTCATATCCATTAGTTTATTATTTAAATACTTTTTGTAAAAAAATTATTGTACCTGATTACACCATATACACTCAGAAGCTTTATTTTACAAATTAAATATATTGTATAGTATGACATTGAGTTAATAAAGAAGAAATCTTAAGTATGGTATTTCGATTTTACCTAATAAATCTCATCCTTTTCTATTATTGAAAGCAATCATTAATGTTCTATTAATTAAAAGATAAGATATGTTATATTTTTATAGCTTCTTGTATTTATTTTTATTGTTCCAAATTGGTTAAATGCAGTGCACCAAATGATCATAACACAAGTTACAGTTGAAGTGTGAATTAACAACTCAAAATACAGAATCCATCAAAGCATTTTGGGAAGTACCCTGCATAATGGCATAATGGTTTGTATGGTTATAGTGTTGTGTTTTTCCCCTTAAGTATAGGTTCAAATCTCCCACATCACAAATGGCTTTTATTTAGTAATGATGCCAAAGTTCAGTCGTTCAAAGCACAACGACCACATTAAAATTCAGACGTGCGAGTGCTTAGGGTGCACTCGGACTTTGGTGTGGGAGGGACGGGTTCAATTCCCAGCACATCCACAAAACTTTAATAGGTTTGGACCGCTTTCCCTAAAACGTTTTTGAATATTGACTTCATTAAAAATGCCACTGGCATATACACGAGCAAAAAAAAAAGAACTGCAGCATTCTACATTAGTAAAGACAAGACGTTTTGTATGATACAACAAAGCTAGCGTGGAACTAGTGGTGCACACCACACCAGACTGAAACGGGGTTAGAATCCACAATCTCGGCCGGAAAGAAAACGCATTAGGCCGTTTAACCCTAACCGTCTACCACACAGTCTACCTGCACAAAAAGTAGTTCAAAACTCTACTCCTAAGTTGTCAGCTATAGATTTCAGCTTGTTTTGTTGAGTTGCAGTTGCAAAGATAGTTAGGTAAGAACTGTGGTGTAGTGGATCAAGGTGTGGAAATGGTGTACCCACTCTGGATTTTCTAGAGATATATTGATAAGACGACCCATATTTTTCACATGTAACTGGCTGGGTAGCTGAGTGGTTAAAGTGCTCACCTAACAATCAAAAGGTCGCCAGTTCGATCCTTAGAAAAGTCAGTAGCTTTTTGATGGTTCGAAACTGGACCCAGCTGTTCCTAATCATTGAGCTTTAAATAAATAGTCCTGACTGATGAAACAGCTGATATTAGTCAGTAACTAAGCTGCACAGATCATCTCACTATTATACACTCATCCTTCACTCGTATTTGGGTTAAAATATGCACCTAGTAGAAGTATCCATCTCATAATAATAATGATAATGGTGAGTTAATTGTGAGTGTTCCCACACTGGAAAATTTATGACTTACACCACTGTATAAGTAAATGGAAGTTTGGTTGAGTTACTCATGTGTCCAATACATATTGGCTTTTGGAGCTCAGCGTATTGCGTAGAAGTTATAGGTAATAAGTACAGAATTAAAAACAAGACATTGAAAAAACATACTATATTCTCTTTAGAAATTATTTTAGAAAATATGAGACCTAGATTAAACAAAGCAAGCTTTAGCTTTCAATTTAACACTTAATCAATTAGGACTGAACTGTACAAACAATAAAATACAATCACTATCATACAAGTCACAGGTCTACAGTAAGTAGAACACAATAAATCAATATTTTAATACACAACAATCCTTCAAGTATACAGGTTTTTATCTACAAGTTATTTATTTGATTAAAAAATATATTTATCGTAAGGTTATTTTACTATGTACAATATTACAGTAAAATATATATTATTGAAGATTAAGTGCATAAATGGTAACAATGTTTACAAATCATAAGTATTTCGGTTATTGAGTAAAGCTCGGACAGTAAAAACTTTAAGAAACTAACAGCATGTCACATTTTCTCATGAAAGTTTTTACCTTTTAAAAACTACAGAACCATTAAGTTGTTTTTTTTTATTCCTACCAAACTGGCCTAATTATTCATAATGGTAATCAATGTATGTCAATCAACAACAAATCCTAACTTGGGTAACTTGGTACAATGGCATCATATTGAATTCTCTGTAATATTATTCTTTGTGAATTATGAAATTCTCTGTAAAAATTTAATATTTTTTCATTTCATTCCACCACATTATTTTCAAACAGGTAATATTTTGATCAAAACAACTAGGCCTACTATACTAAAAGTAAGATATTCCTAAACTAAAAACACTTAATCATCCTTCTTTTTCGAGTTTGTGTGGAATTTCTTTAAAAAATTACAACTTGTTAAAAACAGTGTTAACAATTGAAAACAAATTTAATTAGTGTTTTATGTAAAGACTAGATTGACATTACAATTATGGCTATTTATGTGCCTCATCGCATTAAATGCTTCTAATTTTTTTAAGCGTTAGTTTTAATATTTTGCTTTGATGGAGACTTTTAAGAAAAAAATCAAGGATGATGACAATTTTTTGGTGTATCTATTTAAGTAAATGGATCATTGTAAGTAAACTTTAATTTTTATTAAAATAAATTTATAGTTGTGGTGGTTAATTAAAAGTAAAGTTACTAAGTACACTTTTATACAAATAGTTGAGTTTATCTTATAGGATGTTTGATCAATTCTTTCACTCTCCTTGATCATCCCTTATTCATAATTAAGATTGCAAATTTTGCATTGAAAACCCCTCAAGTCTGGCAAATTTTGTACAGTCCAAATTTAAACTTTCTACACCAAAAACTTTTTCTAATCAGAACAGATTGTAGGAAACAAATTGAGTGACGAAAACTAAAAGAAATTATTTTGAAAAACATTTTAAGGTTTACAGTAATAACCATGAATTTTAACAGTTATAAATTTTTAAATTTAATTTGAGATTAAGTTTGCCATAGATAAAGTAACTTGTAAGAAAGTCGGAGCAAAAATACATTGCTTACATTGTTGATTAATGTCAACTACAGTTTTGCTGACATTACACCTTTTAAAATCTATTTACTTTGTGATAGATAGTGACTTTAAAATGTATTTATACTTTAAAGAAAAAAGCACATAGGCCTACTTAGTTTTATTGAATGAATACACTGAGTTCGAGTTACTGATTGAATACAATACCGTATTAACAGTTGAAATTCGTGTAGACAAATTAGGTATTTAATATAAACTTATCACATTATCTCAATGCTCAGAAGTTTAAACAACGATTTATTAAATCAGTCTTAGACAGTAATTCCAGAAGACGTTTCAATAAAACCAAACGATAAAAACAAAGTATTTGGGTGAAAACCAAAATATATTCTAAAAGTAATTAACTCACAATAAAATTTGTGCCTCTTACACTACAACAAAAACAGTTAAAGTATCATTTGTGACAGAAGGACAAGTAACTTATAAAAACTTACAAACCTACAAACATTGACACGGAAAACAAACCTAACATGACTAGTTGTGCTATAACCTTAATACTCAGAGTATATGTACAAGGTGGTATTAGTTAATGTAAGCACTTTGTAGAAACAAGAAGGAAAACTACATTACTCATAATAAATCTCCTCTCTTGCTTTCAAGCGAATAAAACAAACAATCTATATATAACATTAAAAGAAACAGTGTTTACTAATAGCACTGATAAAAGGGATATTTAAATATATTGTCATCTTGTTAGTCCGCATGACAAAAAACCTATTTTTTTTCAACTCATCACACATTAAATTGAAAAATACAGTATCACAAATATGCATCGTTGTTGTGAAAAAAAACTTGCATTACTAATTTGGTGTTATTTAATCACTGGCAATAAAATCGGTAAGTTAATTTATCACAAAAAATAGACCCTCTCAATAAGTAAAATAAGTCAATAAGTTTGTCTTTTAAATTATTCGGATACATTTTTTTTGTTAAAGAGTTAACTGGAAAACTTTTAGATATTGACACTATAGTGTTATGACAATTTGATTATCAATTCAGTTCATGACCTACATTTAAAACACTTGTTAAATTTTAAAATAACCTGATTAAGATCACAAAATAATGGTGGAACATGTCATTTTAAATTAAAATCAGCAAAAATAAATGCTATACAATTTTAAAATAGTAATATAACACTCAGCTCATTTCAAGTTTTTTAGGTAGTTTTTTTTTTTATTACCAGAGTATAATATTAGAGTGGGTATTACTCCACAAAACCAATCGTCGTGTTTGACACGATTCGGTATTTATATACTGCAGTTAAACAACAAAAGCTACATGGTATCAGCCTTATTACACAGGTGAGACAACCGATTAGTTAAGCCTACTTACTCTATGATAAGACACATATTCGGGTTGATGTAGTGATTCTGTCAGATGTAAGTGGGAGAGTCTTTGAGACTACTGCCGCACGCTTCACAGCTGGTCACTCCCTTCTCGTTGACCAGAGTACAGTGAGGACATTGTCTTCCTCCGCTAGCCAGGGGCTTCATCTCACCACCCTGGTTGCGGCTCTTCCCGCACATCTCACAAACGTCCAGACTCACGGAGTTGTGGTATGTACACGCCACGCACTCCCACTTCTCTGACAGTTTCACCGTGAGTTTCCTCACGTTCACCAATTTCGCATCGTCCGGTTTCTTCGAGGTTGTTTGACTCTGCCTAGGACTGCTACCGGGGGGTGATGAGTTGTCGTAAAGACTCACCCGGTTTTCTCTACGTTTCCCATCCACCTCGTCCAACTTCATTTTATTCAAAGCTTCGTTGATTTTCATCGTCCTCTGGTCCGGAATGGACAGTTGGTGAAGGTCATCGAGGCTGAACGCTTTCACGGCCTCGTCAAAATCCAAAGGTGAAGGAGGCCTTTTGTCTTTTCTTTTCTCTTCGTCTCTCTTTTGGCCCGTCTTCTCTTCTAGTCTTTTGTAAACGTAGCCCCAGTTGCTGTCACGGTTTCCCTCCTTCTTCCCACTCTTCCTACTCCCCAGGTCGTCGGAGGTCGTCGACCTACTGTACATGTCCGAGGGATATCGCTCTCCGTTCCTTCTCACCTCGTGTTCCACCCGATGGTCAGACGAGCTTCTTCGATGCGTGTTAGTGTAAGACACGGGTATATCGTGGGGCGTATCTAGCTCGATCAGCTGGGCCGTCGGAACTGTACACGAGTAGTTTGGCATCACGACGGGGGGAGGGGGCACAGGCAGCGGGATATAACCGTTCTGTACAGGGTAGTAGCTGCCTGGGTACACCTCGTGGGGTTTGATGTACATGGGGTAGGAGGGAGGACTGACCACACTGTACCTTGGTGTAGTCAGGGCGTAGTTGTAATGGTACCTCGGGTCGTAGGGACAGGGGTCAGCGACCGGGTGATATCTAGACACTGTGTTGTAGCTGTCCATGTGTAGTCTGTACTGCTGCTCCTCATACCTGCGCTTCTGTAGGCTGCAAGTGGGAGAACAATCATGAGAAACGATGGGAACTGGGAGGATTATTCAATATGGGAACTGATAGTGTGGGTTACAACAAACGATTATTGTACCTTGATGGTAAGAAACTAGTCTAGTTTAAAAATAGGAGACTAGAGTCTACATTAAACCTTTAAACAACAAGTTATTGTTATCCATACTGTTCTCTTTAAGTGATGCCTAATAATTCTATCCAGACAGCAAACAGCTAAATATTAGAAAGTCACAGTATCTAAATTTATTCAATCCTTGGTACAACACCCAAGACAAATAATACCAAATAATTAATTTGGTTTCTGTAGTAAGACAATATTTATCAGCATGAAACCTAGGCGTAGAGTAATTTCTAGCATTACCAGAATATTGGAATCGTTAAACATTAAACCACAGGCAGGGCCGTATTTCCGAATAGGCGGACTAGGCGCGTGCCTAGTGCGGCAAATTGTAGGGGGCACAAAATTAATTAAAAAGGAGGTTTTAATCTAACAAAAATACTAAATGTTGATCAATTAATTTTGAGAACTGAAAAAATGCTATTTTAAATACTTTGACTGGGTATAAAATGATTTCAGAACACATTTCATTTAAGTCAAAGTCGATAATTTACTATAGGGGAGAGTGGTACAAGGTGGGACACGGTTTATAGTGGGACATTCCATATAACTTTTTTATCTTCAAAGCCATGTGGCCAGTTTCCCTCCAAAAGTGTTAAGTCATGGCCAACAGTGTGTTTTAAGTTAGTTCTGAAGTTTCAGTCATGTTGGAAAGTACTGAATGACAGTCTGCTACAACTATAGTCTCAAAAGTTACATTTTTGAGGTAAGCAATCATCATTTTCTTATGAAATTAGTTTGATAAGCAGGTTAAATTTGATATGCCTAACATTAAAAAACCTTCTTTGTTCAATAGAAGGAGGTCAGGGATGTCTGAGATGCACTGTTTGGGGTAAAACTTAAAAACAATATAACCCTACATGTGGTACAAGGTGGGACAGTTATTTGTGATATATAGTGGGACAATGTTAAATAAGGTGGTACAAAGTGGGAAATCGGTACATAGTGGGACAAGCAATTATAATTGATTTATTATACTATTATAGCAATTCATAATAGGCTATAAATACAAGCATACCCATATAAATATATAACATGCCTCATCTGCTTGGTAGGTTACCAAGAATAGGACCTAGGGTTTGTTAAATAAAAAAAGCCCTTAACTTACTCCTCATGGTAAACCCTAACACGGTTTACCCAGAAACACAACCATTGTCATAATTTTGTGTCAGGCCTAGGTATTTTTAAACTGTTTAGTACTTATATTTTCAATTAAACAATTCCTTTCTTCTTTTTTACCTACTTATAACATAAATAGAGTTTTAGCGGGGTCGGTTTTATGCAGAAGTAGACCTACATTTAACTCTTAAAATATAGACACATTCATTCATATCATAGTTATTCATCAAAGAACATTATAGTGAAATTTTACAAAAAAAAATATTTTTTCAGGTCCATAATGCCGAAGATTTGCCGCAAGAAGTTTTTGGAGCATGCAGAAGATGGAGCAATTTTGAGCCTTATAGCCTAGTTTAATTACTAACTATTTACTATAAGTTTTTACAAGTCACATATATCAATCAATATTTTTATTTGTCTGAAACTGTCTTATTTAAGTATACCTCCTATGCATAACAGGATGTCCCACTTTGTACCATTTATTGTCCCACTTTGTACCATATGCTGTCCCACTTTGTACCATATTGCTGTCCCACCTTGTACCAGGGTCGGTACATGTTGGGACAAGTGGTATAAAGCGGGACAAACGGTTTTTGGCCTTTTAAATATAAGTTAATAATTTTGAAAAAAATATCATTAAAAGAGTTTTAAAAGTGCTTTATTTTTGTGTAAAGATTGTTCTTCTAAGTCAACTAATATTGAAGAAAAAAATCTTTTAATATTTTCGTCCCAGTATGTACCACTCTCCCCTACGGCTGTGCCGTGTTTTCCGTGCTGCCCTGCAGTCTGGCGGACACATCGCGGCTCGCGGGCGTGGGCTGCCGGCCACTGCGTAGGCATTGTGTAGATCTGCCCTCTGTTTCGGTATCGTGTTTCCCGATACCGGCGTTTTTGTAATGTTTATTTATTGTTTGTCTTTTTTTTGTGTGTTGTTAAATGTGTGACATCGATGGATTGTAACTTCAACCACTTCCTGAAATTTGATGTCCTTGACAGCTTGATTACCATTGGAAACGAAACTGCAGTAGCCTATATAGACTACAAAGGATCATTTTGACAGTATAAGGTAATTAAACCATTATTTATTAAAAGTTTTCAATTAAAAGCATTATAAGAACCCTTGTATATGGATGTTTTTGTGTGCAGTTTACGCACCACAAAACGTGATTATGACTTTTCTGATTAAATACAACAACGCTGCCTTCCATGTATGCAAAACAGAATTGCATTTTGCATGAAAACTGTAAAACAAAAAAGTCTGTAAAAAAGGGTCCAATATGTTATTAGATTTGTTGATGGAGCAATTGCCGGTTACTTTTCTAAAAAACCAGCTGACAGGGCATGTATTGGGGTAATCTTAGAGTGGTCGGGGGTGGAGGCGGTTAAGTTTGCTGCGGCAGATAGTTAAATACGTCCCTCGACACTGTGAACTCATCAGTTCACTCCTGACCTAACAGAGACAGGATTTATGCTCACAATATGATGCTGTCTTCTGGCCAGAGAAACAGCACTTTAGATGGCTCAATCATCGATCCGACCTAAACGTTTCCTGCACATCAACACTGGTCAACCGACAAGCCTAAGGGCAGTAGTTGTAAATCTGAAAGTTGCAGCACAGGTGACGTATAGCTTTCAGCCGCTTAGTAGGAAGGCTAATATTTACCTGAAAGTCAGACCTCTCACGGCTAGTTCTGGTGTACAAACATGCGTCTCCCGATATTGCAGCACTTCCAGCCAAGTGCAAGATGACACCACTTTGAAAACCTCTGCGTATATACTTCGTATTATCTGCAAAACCAAAATAAAATACATCAAGTATTTGAAAGACTAATATCTTTCTTAGACTAGTTTTCGACTTACACCATCTTTTATCCAGCAAAGCAAGGGGTGAGTCGGTACAGTACAATGGATAACTGTACTGAAAAAGTGTTTTTGGCAGTGACCAGGATCCGAACCCACGACATCGCTGCCTTGGGCCCAAAGTCTGTGACACTACTGTCGGGGAAATAAATATGTGCACTCGAGTTTGAGCCTAATCATATCTCTGAGATGAATTATCCGATTTTGTTGAAACAAAAACTAAATAAAATGATTTTCATCTCAGAGATATTTAGGCTCAAACTCAAGTGCACATATTTATTTCCCCGACAGTAGCAACTGAGCCACTGAGCCACTTGTTGAACTGACTCTCCACAATTAGAATAAGAAAAGAATCTAGAAAATAATCTAAATAAACAAGGCCAGCGTGGTTACAACAGAATCGGGAATATCTTCTGCGATCATGGCAAAATCGTGAACATTTTCTGTAGTCATAGAGATAGGCCTGTTGTGTAATTATGGCAAAAAATTGTAAATATCTTCCAAGGTTACGGTGAACATGTTACACAGTCTAAGTGACATTATCATCTCCCACAATCACAACAAAATTGTCAATTTTCATCACTCAACTTTGTAAAGACTTTCAAGGATCACAAAAGTAAATGCTCGACAAAACACAAACCCAGCTTGGTCTGATAATTAGTTCTGACCCAAACTAATATCTTGACCCAACTGTTGGCCCACCCTGGCCCGACAATATTAGGGATCGCAGACCTCCAAAATATGTAGTAGATTAATAGTGTATGGTTTGTTGATTGTTTAGTAACCTGAACTAAATTGCAAAGGTAGGTAGGGCTATTTGTTATTTGAAGACTTATGTCTAACTGCACTAGAACAAACTGTAAAAACTGTCTTGGAAATCACAAATTAAAATCAGTAGTAAATCTTTGTATTATTTTGATTATTTGACATTAGGCCTACTATGATAGCTAAGAAGATATGGAATAAGCTGAATAAAATTAACAATTCCCATCGAAAACAGAGTACATATCATCGATTCACATCAATCACGTACTCATGGCACTAAAAAAAAATAAATTACGTTCATTATCATCACATTACTGAAATTTAGATTTTTTAAATATAGTTTATGGTTTGTTACCTGACACTCGACCAACGCCACAATTGCGTCTCGAGACACCATTGTGACTCTGTCTGGGTCTACAGGACCATCCAACACCAGTGTAGAGTGACTAGAGTGTTTGTAGCCCATAGCCTCCAACATCAACTCAGCTCCCACCAGGTTGCTCTCCAGGTTGTGCTTGTAGTAGCCACAGTACGTCTGTCAAACACCAACATACTATACAGGCTATATTACACTCCTGGTCTACAGGACCATCCAACACTAGTGTAGAGTGACTAGAGTGTTTGTAGCCCATAGCCTCCAACATCAGCTCAGCTCCCACCAGGTTGCTCTCCAGGTTGTGCTTGTAGTAGCCACAGTACGTCTGTCAAACACCAACATACTATACAGGCTATATTACACTCCTGGTCTACAGGACCATCCAACACTAGTGTAGAGTGACTAGAGTGTTTGTAGCCCATAGCCTCCAACATCAGCTCAGCTCCCACCAGGTTGCTCTCCAGGTTGTGCTTGTAGTAGCCACAGTACGTCTGTCAAACATCAACATACTATACAGGCTATATTACACTTCTGGTCGACAGGACCATCCAACACCAGGGTAGTGTGACTAGAGTGTTTGTAGCCCATAGCCTCCAACATCAGCTCAGCTCCCACCAAGTTGCTCTCCAGGTTGTGCTTGTAGTAGCCACAGTACGTCTGTCAAACACCAACATACTATACAGGCTATATTACATTCCTGGTCTACAGGACCATCCAACACCAGTGTAGAGTGACTAGAGTGTTTGTAGCCCATAGCCTCCAACATCAGCTCAGCTCCCACCAAGTTGCTCTCCAGGTTGTGCTTGTAGTAGCCACAGTACGTCTGTCAAACACCAACATACTATACAGGCTATATTACACTCCTGGTCTACAGGACCATCCAACACTAGTGTAGAGTGACTAGAGTGTTTGTAGCCCATAGCCTCCAACATCAGCTCAGCTCCCACCAGGTTGCTCTCCAGGTTGTGCTTGTAGTAGCCACAGTACGTCTGTCAAACACCAACATACTATACAGGCTATATTACACTCCTGGTCGACAGGACCATCCAACACCAGGGTAGAGTGACTAGAGTGTTTGTAGCCCATAGCCTCCAACATCAGCTCAGCTCCCACCAGGTTGCTCTCCAGGTTGTGCTTGTAGTAGCCACAGTACGTCTGTCAAACACCAACATACTATACAGGCTATATTACACTCCTGGTCTACAGGACCATCCAACACCAGGGTAGAGTGACTAGAGTGTTTGTAGCCCATAGCCTCCAACATCAGCTCAGCTCCCACCAGGTTGCTCTCCAGGTTGTGCTTGTAGTAGCCACAGTACGTCTGTCAAACACCAACATACTATACAGGCTATATTACACTCCTGGTCTACAGGACCATCCAACACCAGGGTAGAGTGACTAGAGTGTTTGTAGCCCATAGCCTCCAACATCAGCTCAGCTCCCACCAGGTTGCTCTCCAGGTTGTGCTTGTAGTAGCCACAGTACGTCTGTCAAACACCAACATACTATACAGGCTATATTACACTCCTGGTCTACAGGACCATCCAACACCAGTGTAGAGTGACTAGAGTGTTTGTAGCCCATAGCCTCCAACATCAGCTCAGCTCCCACCAGGTTGCTCTCCAGGTTGTGCTTGTAGTAGCCACAGTACGTCTGTCAAACATGAACATACTATACAGCCCCAAAGCAGAACAACGAGCGACGCTGCGACATTGTCGCGGACACGAAACGCCGAGAAACGCGGGCCTGCGGACACATTTACGGAGTCATAATGACGATCGCGCCGTGGCTGCGATTATTGGACCGACGATCGTACCGTGACCGCGAGTCATAACGACGATCGGGCTGTGACCGCGGAGTCATACCGACAGTCACGCCGTGACCGCGGAGTCATAACGACGATCGCGCCGTGACCGCGAAGTCCTACCGACGATCACGCTGTGACCACGAGTCATATCGACGATCACGCCGTGACCGCAGAGTCCTACCGACGATCGCGCCGTGACCGCGGAGTCATACTGACGATCATGCCGTGATGGCGGAGTCATGCTGACGATCGAGCCGTGACCGCGAGTCATACCGACGATCGCGCCGTGACCGTGGAGTCATACCGATGATAACCCCGTGACCGCGGAGTCCTACCGACGATCGCGCAGTAACCGCAGAGTCCTACCGACAATCGTGCCGTGACCGCGGAGTCATACTGACGATCATGCCGTGATGGCGGAGTCATGCTGACGATCGAGCCGTGACCGCGAGTCATACCGACGATCGCGCCGTGACCGCGAGTCATGACGACGATCGCACCGTGACCGTGGAGTCATACCGACGATAACCCCGTGACCGCGGAGTCATACCGACGATCGCGCCGTGACCGTGGAGTCATACTGACGATCATGCCGTGATGGCGGAGTCATGCTGACGATCGAGCCGTGACCGCGAGTCATACCGACGATCGCGCCGTGACCGCGAGTCATGACGACGATCGCACCGTGACCGTGGAGTCATACCGACGATAACCCCGTGACCGCGGAGTCATACCGACGATCGCGCCGTGACTGCGAGTCATGACGACGATCGCGCCGTGACCGTGAGGTCTACAGACGATCACCCCGTGACCCGCGAGTCACAAGTTTCTATAGGTACCTGTAAATTGTTACCCATTTTTTGGTTTTTATAGATCAGTGCCACAAATGGTAAAAATTGATTTCGTATGTCTTTTTTGGTAACTGCAATACAGTACTTTTTTATGCACAGAAAAAAATCCTGTCCCATCCCGTCCCAAAAATCTGGAAGGAAATAAAAATCCCGTCCCGTCCAGTACCGAACTAAAATTTCAATCCCGTCCATCCCTAGTGTGTTTATATAAAGAAACTATAGTACATTTAAAGTTTTACTTCCGAAGACCTTGTTAACACTTGTTAAGGTATGTGTATATATATACGTATTTAAAAAAAGTAAATTTAAATAACCTGATTATGCCTACCCCTTAATAGTTTTTTAGTTTTTTGTTTTAAAAGTAGGCTATACAAGTTATTGAAATTTACTTATTTTATTTAACTATATTACTAGTAGCCCTAAAGAGTGAATATATATATATATAATTATATATACCGGTATATAAGTCATTATTTAGTTTTAGCGCTTGCGGACACATTTTGAGGTTTTCACAGGCCGTTGCAGACACGTAGGAACCATTCTGCTTTGGGGCTATACAGGCTATATTACACTTCTGGTCGACAGGACCATCCAACACCAGGGTAGAGTGACTAGAGTGTTTGTAGCCCATAGCCTCCAACATCAGCTCAGCTCCCACCAGGTTGCTCTCCAGGTTGTGCTTGTAGTAGCCACAGTACGTCTGTCAAACACCAACATGCTATACAGGCTATATTACACTCCTGGTCTACAGGACCATCCAACACTAGTGTAGAGTGACTAGAGTGTTTGTAGCCCATAGCCTCCAACATCAACTCAGCTCCCACCAGGTTGCTCTCCAGGTTGTGCTTGTAGTAGCCACAGTACGTCTGTCAAACATGAACATACTATACAGGCTATATTACACTTCTGGTCGACAGGACCATCCAACACCAGGGTAGAGTGACTAGAGTGTTTGTAGCCCATAGCCTCCAACATCAGCTCAGCTCCCACCAAGTTGCTCTCCAGGTTGTGCTTGTAGTAGCCACAGTACGTCTGTCAAACACCAACATACTATACAGGCTATATTACACTCCTGGTCTACAGGACCATCCAACACCAGTGTAGAGTGACTAGAGTGTCTGTAGCCCATAGCCTCCAACATCAGCTCAGCTCCCAACAGGTTGCTCTCCAGGTTGTGCTTGTAGTAGCCACAGTACGTCTGTCAAACATGAACATACTATACAGGCTATATTACACTTCTGGTCGACAGGACCATCCAACACCAGGGTAGAGTGACTAGAGTGTTTGTAGCCCATAGCCTCCAACATCAGCTCAGCTCCCACCAGGTTGCTCTCCAGGTTGTGCTTGTAGTAGCCACAGTACGTCTGTCAAACACCAACATACTATACAGGCTATATTACACTCCTGGTCTACAGGACCATCCAACACCAGTGTAGAGTGACTAGAGTGTCTGTAGCCCATAGCCTCCAACATCAGCTCAGCTCCCACCAGGTTGCTCTCCAGGTTGTGCTTGTAGTAGCCACAGTACGTCTGTCAAACACCAACATACTATACAGGCTATATTACATTCCACCCAATACTAAGACACCATTTAACAGTCAATTTCTTCAACTGTAACAGGGTAGCCACAGAACTTCTTGAAAAAATTTACACACTATTCCCAATTTATTTGGCACATAAAGCGGGTTTTCCCGGCCATGATTCCCGGTCGTAAAGTGGTTCAGTTAACTAGGGGTCTGCGGGTATTTGATATTTTGGGGTCAAGTCAGGCAAATGGACCAGTTTGGGCAATAAGTGATTATTGGGCCAAGCTCTGATTGAGTCGAGCTGAGCAGATTATTATTTCTGTGATGGCAAAAACCAACAATGTGCTATCAAAAAATGACATCTTAGTGATTGCTGAAGATGTTCAAGATATTTCTGTAACCTTAGTGATATGTTCACAATTTTTTTGTGATTGCGAAGATGTTTACAAATTTGCCATGACATTGGAAGATGTTTGTTCACGTTCATGATTATTCCAGACTGCAGAAGATGTTCTCTAATTTACTATAAGGCTGTATACAATGTTCTCAATTTTGCAGTGATCTTTTGCTGTTCTTGATTTTGCCATGACCGCAGATACATTCAGGATTTCCCCATGACCGTAGGTGATGTTTTAACAGTCAGTTAAGTTTTTCATGTAGTTTCATGAACATTTATGCAAGCAAATAAAGTACGTTGCTGTGTGTTCGTAAACATCCCGGTTTTCCTGTAATTCCATCTGTGGCTACCCTGTGTAGGCCTACAACATTTGGTCTAAAGTATGTAATGCAAAGAAAGGTAAAGCACTCATGTACACTCTATACAATCTACCTACCCTACCATAAAATTAGACTGAAAAACCTCTCAACTACTATGTTAGCGAACACTAGCTGGTTTCTCACCTTAATTTCGTGAAACTCCTTGCGCCAGGGTTGCGCCAGCAAGTTGTGTGCGTACGAAGCTATCGCCATCCATGCGGCATTAGCTCGATACGGACTAAACTCCTCCTGCCTTTCTACACTGCGATGCAGGACCTCAGCCGTTTCGCGGAAACAGAACTTGGTCTCATGAGTGGCGAGACATAGGAACTCTCGGATGTAGGCTATCATGTTTAAATACATGTTAGTGACTAAATTATTTATGGTTATACAGTAGAGTCCCGCAAACTCGGCACTGAATAACCCGGCAGTCTGGATAACTCGGCCATCAGAAAAGCCTAGCTCAGAAAATTAGTGATTTTTTGAGTCCGAGTTAAACATGGACACAAGCCAGCTCAAGTATAATCATTTGCAACTCGTACTAAGGATTTGTTGTACTATGTCTAAAGATTTAATACTGACTTGTAATAGAAATCTAATTGAAAAAGGTGGTTAAAAAGCTTAAAAATTGTATTGCTCTTATTTTTAACTCTACAGTTCCCGATATCCCGGCATTTCACAAACTCGGCACCCTTCTAGTCCACATTACGCCGAGTTTGCGGGACTTTACTGTATCTAGCAGTAAAAATAAAGAGGTTTGTCACATCATATGAGTATTTAAGAGCTTGTACAATAACTTGCAGATCGGCATTTATATGGAATATATGGGTCCGCGGAATTGGCTAACTCTGGAACTCGCTAACCCCATGTTAAACGCCCTATCTTCAAATTTGGTCGATGAGAGGAACTCGCTAACTTGTTCGGTTTCGGAATTGGCTAACTCCGGAACCCGCTAACCCACTCTAGAGCCGGGTTAGCGAATTCCGTCCTGGCATGGAAGTCGCTAACTCGGTCCCTCGGCAGAACTCGCTAACTCCCAATCAGAAGCCTCGCGAGCCGTCCAATGGGAGCCAAACACGAATATTTTTGGCCAGTGTTGCCGAAAGTGTAGTACCTATATCGTATCGGTACCATAATGTCGTATCCTACGACTATTAGGAGTAAGAGCAACGTAGTCGATAAAATAAATATATTTAGAAGTATGTTTAACATTATTCCTATGATTATTATTGTGGAAAATGCATTATAGTCTTACCATAGACTAACCAACACAAGTAAACTTTACATCCCATTGTAAACTTCGAAGCTCGTTTTTCGTGTCTAGTTCATGTCCGGTGACACTGATCGCTAGTGTCGACAAAAGTGTGTTTCTATTATTTTATAGTTAACTTCATGATTTGTTTTTTAATGTTTGGTTATATAACTAGGGGACGTGTTATTAGTTTTGATTAGAACGTTTTATTTGGTTAAACGAGGTTTTAAATTACTGAAAACAAGAAACAATTGTAAACAAAACACGACCTCTAAAGACAGTGCACTGGACAGAACTAACAATAAAACTGTCTTCAGCTGATCCATTAGGATGAGAAATCTACTAAGGGAGTATGTTTTATCTATGATAGTAGCTTATTGGTATGCAAAAAGATAAAAATGCACATTTAATTTGGATCTATTACATGTTATGAAATATCTATTTTCGTAGTCCGCCATTTGTTTCTTTTATTCGAATAAATACCATTTTGTAAATTTCTGCAGATAAAATTATTGAGTTCGTATTTTATATACTGGGCTTGTAACCTTGAATCATCTATAATATTAAAACGAAAGTGTGTTTTTTTATTTCACGATTCTGAATCAACCACTCGACGGATTTTCATGATTTTTGGGTTGAAAGAAAGATAATTTTGAGAACTAGGGAATGTCGAAGCCATAATTTTAGTTTAGGGTCCCAGTTTTTTAGAAATTAAGTTTTAATTTTTAAAAAGTCTAGCAGCCGACGCTAAGATTCTAAACTAGCTTTTGGCATAAAATAATTTGCTTAACATAACAGCTGTAAACATTCAGCTTTTGTGTCACAAATTCAGCATTTGGATAAAAATGTAAAGACATACTTAGGATTGACTTATTTATACCATGTGTAATGCTAATCATTGATACGTTCAATTCTTCTGTAAGAGGATGGCAGATTAATTAAATATACATAGTAAAATACTAGGATGTTCAAATTATTTTTTAAAGCAATCTTTGTAATCTTCGATTTGTTTTAGAGCAATATAATTTGTTTTAACTAACAGCTGGTTAAATATAAACTATGGAACTATGAGGTTATTTTATTTTTTTCATTGATTATAGGAAATAAGTAAGATTAGTAGAGATAATTAGACCACAGTTTAAACCAATATTAATTAAACCACAGTACAAATCGAGGCTCTGTACACGAGTCTTAATAAAAAAGGATAAATGCAAATTATTTTACTGCTCCTCTTTTCAAGGAAAGATTAGAAAAATAACAATGTTTACATGTTTTAATTTTTCATGGTAGCTTTTTGTTTACAATTAATGTTTGTCTGCTTTAACTTTGTATGGATTAGGCCCGGAAATATTGATGTCATAAAAAGAAGATCAAGAATAATCAGGAATCACGATTTTAAATTACGACCACAACCTCAGCCGGGTTTTATACAAAGATAAACAGATGGATGACATAGATTGAACACAACGTCAACATTGACCTAGGATACTGCAATTAGACAAACCATCCTTAAAATCGTGTTCAGTTGTGGTTACGTTTGGGGGCACCTATATCAGCGCCCCCAAACGTGAAAATAATATCACTTTTATTTCAACTATGAATATATTGTAGTTTAAGTTAACTAATATGGGAAATTAAGATGTACATTTCTTCAATGAGGGTGTGTAATTATCAAGAATAGAACTGAAAACGGTATAGATAATAAACATTGACAATTACGTCATTAGCTTTACTAGCGTGTTTACTTTTTATATTCCTGCTACATGTGACCAGTTCTTATTTTCAAATGAATGTTATTTGAACCAAACAGCTGTTTCAAAACAAACTGTTATTGTTTTTACTTTTCTTTGTTTACGCATATTTATTTATCAATTAATGCAGTGAAATTCATATAAAGGATAGGTGTGACGATTCGTTTTGATGTTAGGACACCAAAGTTTGTGTACTGTGAATTTTATTGGATATTATCGTTTTGTTTTAGGTCGTTTCTATTCAGACCTACTGGAAATTGTGTATAGTAGTTGTATTGTGGTGATAATAATTATGGAAGAGGCAGGTATGCGCTATGAAAGGGGGTATCGTTGACTAGGTCTATACACTTCTCAATTTTGACTATTACTCTCTCTACAATATGCTACTTATAATCAGTGTGCGTCTGTGCGAATCGGCTGCAAATCTCACTTCAACGCTTTTCACATCGTAAAAATTGCAGAATTGCTGTTTTATTTTAAAATTAACGGATTTAAAATGCATATCGTATAGGCCTATGATGGAATAAAAACATATTTGGTCACACAACATTTGTTTACAAGATGATTTTTTACATTAAAACTGCAAGAAACTTTGTCTTTATATGTGTAAACTAGCTGATCTGAATTGTACACGGTTTTAACTGGCTACTGAATTCCCGTACGTAGGACGGGCTAACATCTCGTCTATTCTATAATATTAAAACGAAACTGGGTTTTTTTATTTCACGATTCTGAATCAACCACTTGACGGATTTTCATGATTTTTGTGTTGAAAGAAAGATAATTTTGAGAACTAGGGAATGTCGAAGCCATAATTTTAGTTTAGGGTTTCAGTTTTTTAGAAATTAAGTTTTAATTTTTAAAAAGTCTAGCAGCCGACGCTAGCAATTTAAAGTATTTTCAATGGTGGTTTAACTAACAGCTGGTTTATAACTGTCATTGAAATGTTTATGTTACGAGTTGTTTGTTTACAAAAATATTGTTCGTTAGTGTTTGCCTACATACTATTTCACTTTAAAATGTAGATAGTTTACCCCTACCGTGAAGGATCTCCGTTATCAGGAAATGTGTTATTTTGAACTAAACATCTCAAACACTTGCGTTTACTCAAGTTTTGTCGTAAATGCAATCTGTGTAAGTATTTAGTTTATGCATTGCAAATTTCAACTCATACTGTATTTGGGAAACATCTTTTCAGCAGTTTATTGCTTAATTATTTAAGATATAAGTGGTTTACGTGTTGATACCTACTTCTTTTTCTGTATGTTTGAATGTGAGTACGTCGGCATACTAAAATGTTGGTTAGTAATGAAAGCGTCAATCGGTGTAGTAGGTCTCTATAAAACTGCCAAATAAACTGCAGGGTGCAGCAGAAACCAAAGTCGACTCATACCATACCAACTATCCCCGTAGTACTGATGATTCAGAAACTTGGGCACTGACCAAAGAACCGAAAAACCTTAATGCTGGGTTAGATAATAAAGTACAGAGAAAATATACAGACCAGTTCAAGAAAACGGCCTGGAGGTCAAAATAAAAAAGATCAGAGAGCTACCGGTAAGAGAAATGTGTTAACACCCAAATATAGGGATGCTTTCCAGAAGTAAGTAAAGATTGGATGGACAGGCTGTGCATAAACTTTTAAAAAGTATATTCCAAGGAGTACCACACGATAGACAGGAATATCAAGTTATGAAATGCATCCTCAGACTGGGATCTAAATTTTGAAGAGGCAGGTGATAGAAGAGAATCCTCATAAAGGTTTCAGTGGTCACGGAGGTAAGATAAGGTACGGTAAGTACATAAGTAGTACAGTATGCAATAAATTGGAGGTAGCATGTAGCTACTCTACTCAAAACCAGTGTGAATCGGTCGCCAATCTGAACCATGCCCTCGTGCCTGCACCCAGACTAACGAAATGGAAGCGTGATCCATGCGCAGGCCCGAGGAGCGGCTCACAAAACTTTACTTAACAAAATGAGAACCATGGATGGAGGTTCAAGAACAACACGCCATTTGAGAGAAACGAGCTGTAATTAACCATTTAAAAGAAAACACAACAACAATAATCAACAACAATACATGAATTAAATACTCTCAATAAACCTTAAATAAATTTAGGTACCCGTTTAAGCTGCTGACTTACAATAATTTATTTTAATCATTCAGAAAATCAGAAGGATTTAGTAAAAATTTAACATTTAATAAAAGGAAATTACCAAAATTAACAAACTATAACAATAATAAAATATGATGACTCTTTTAATAAATATCTGAAAAGTTAACAATTAACTAGGGGCCCCAAAAATTAAATACAGTGGAGAGATTTTAAAATCGGATG